TGATGAGCACCTGCGCCAGCGTTCGAAGCAGCTTGGCTTCGTCGACAGAAAGCTGCTTGTCCAGAATCGTCTCCTCGACGTGGCGGTAGACGCGGAAGACACGGGCGCGCTGCGCCTCGGCCGACTCGCCATAGTGGCGCTGGCACTCGTCAAAGGTCAGGCTCGGCTCCAGGAGCGACCGGAGGTACTCGTACGAGCGGCGCCGGTCCTTCCCGCCGTAGAAGAGGACGTTCTCGAGGAGCTCCGTCGGAAGCGTCGGCGGGCTCTGCTGACGCTCCTTGGTCAAGAAGGCAGACGACGATGACATATTGACTCCCAAGCGGCGGGTTTGGATTTGCGCTCGACTTGCAGTCGCGCACCGTATCCGGATATATTACGCAAGATCAGATACAGCGCGCTCTCGTCAAGAATATGAATATGAAGTGCCACCGTCACAGGCGCGCTCGCGCCGTGGATGACACTGACTACCGGTAGCACTTAGTACGATACAGCATCCAGCTCGAGCTGCAAAGGCTCAACGGAGCTTCCCATGCATGCAGTGTATTGGCGATGCGTCCCTGCTCGTCCGGTGGCCCAATATGCAATATTCTTGCATGGCGGCCCATCAACGCTGATGATGCAATTCTGATGTTTAACTCATTTCAACATTGACCTGCATGACCCAGCTGCATGGCCACGACGAGGCAACAAGATGCGAAAGCGCTGCCGTTCTCCAACCGTCCTATTACGCAATATGCGCGCATACACGTCTCCTTGCCGAGACGTGAATGGCTGGCGTACCGTACACGGCCATAGGTCACTTGCACATACCGGCAGTTCTCTCTGAAGTCTTTGGGTACAAGCAGGGCCGCAGTCATTGGGCAGTAGTAGTCGCCGTCATCGTGTGCTGACATGAAGAAATGATTCGTTGGGCGTTGGACCATCCAAATGCGCTGCGCTTGGTCGTCGAAGGGACTCGGTTGCCATTCTATGGCCTTGCGAATGGCTCGCTCGCTTGTGCATTCGTTCGGACTGCGACTCGGGATGGGGTGGGTGCATATACAGTATCAAGTCGACCACGCTGGCACTTGATAATTTCCACTGGCTCGGCTTCCCGCCAATTGATGCTGTTCAACGAATTCGACCCTGTGAGATTTTATATTGCGGGTCGCAGAAATATATCGTTTTACAAAGGTTCTCGGCCAAACGTATTTTAATGCAAACGCCAAAGATCGTGTACTTGGAATTTGACAGAATAAAATAAATTTGCTGCAAATTCATGGCATTTCTCAATAACGCACCAAGAAGCGCAAGCTCGCGCCGAACCCGCGATGGAAGCCCTTGGCGATCTCTCGGACCTGCTGCCGACGGCCCTGGGCAGCATGACATCCCCGGTCCATGCACCTGCGGGGCTGGTCTCCCATGGACCCATGGAGGTCGAGGAGGAGGACGATGCCATGGAGGACGACGACGTCGTGCCGGTCGATGCTCCCGCGGCCAAGGAAGACGAGTACATCCCCGACATCTCACAGTGGAGCTCGGACGAGGAAGAGGAGGCGGACGAAGAAGAAGAGAATCCGAAGGCGCCCAAGTCGCGCCGGAAGAAGCGTCTCCATGACATTCTTGAAGAAGACGAGCTTGATGACGAGACGATCAAGGCCCGCGAGATGGAGAAGGAGCGCATGAAGCGATTCCGCGCGGAAGAGTCGAACGACAAGCTCGACTTTGGATGGACTGCCGACGGGAAGCTGTGCATCAACCCACTGGAGGACGGGTCAATCCCGACGGGCAAGATAGGCGACGACAACGAACCGATCTTGATCCATCCCGACGTTTCCAAGGCGCTCAAGCCTCATCAGATCAAGGGCGTGCGATTCCTGTGGAGCCATATCTCGATCGGCCCCAAGGTAGGAGGAACATGACTTGCGGTCGACACCAACTTCAATATGTCATTAGGGCTTTGGCTGCATCCTCGCGGACTTTATGGGTCTCGGCAAGACGCTGCAGGTCGTTGCGACAGTGCATACGTTCCTCAACGCGATGGTCATCGAGGACGGCGTCAAGGTCGCCAAGTATAACTCAGCGCTGATCCTCGCGCCGGCGATTTGCGTGCGCAATTGGGAAGCCGAGTTCAAGAAGTGGCTGTCCCCGCGCGACGTTCGCCGTATGGGTCTCACGACGCTCGAGTCGGACAAGAACATGCAGGAGCGCGTCGACACGATCCTCCAGTGGCAGCAGCATGGCGGGTACGATCGCCTTGCACCTGTACGGTTTGCCTCATGCATACATAGCGTCATCATCATGGGCTACGAAATGTACCGCGGGCTTGTCTTGCAAGCGACTGGCGAAGAGAAAGCCAAGACGAACAAGTACTCGCTGCGTCTCCAGAACCAGCTCAAGGATGCCTACGAAGCGCTCTCTGCTCCGGGACCTGACCTCATCGTGCTTGACGAAGGCCATCGCATCCGTGACGCGAAGTCGAAGCTCGTGCGCGCCCTTAATCATGTAGGAGCATGCTTCATATTGGACTTGGGTCTCATGCGTCTTAGGTCGAGACGAAGCGCCGGATCATTCTCACGGGGTACCCCCTCCAGAACCACTTGATGGAGTACTGGACCATGGTCAACTTTGCGCGCCCGAACTTCCTGGGCTCTCAAGCCGAATTCAAGAACCGGTTTGTGTTTCCGATCGAGAACGGCGGCTTTGAAGACAGTACGCCCGAGGACATGGCTCTAAGCCGGAAGCGCACGTACGTGCTCACGAAGGAGCTCGGCCCGCTCGTGCTTCGCCGCGACGCGTCGTACCTGCATGCGCAGCTCCCGCCCAAGCACGAATACGTCATGTTGTGCAAGCTCTCGACGCTTCAGATCCAGATCTACAAGGCTTTTCTCCGCGAAGGCGTCCCGAAGGGCTCGAAGCTCAAGCAAGTCGATGTGCTCGGTGGCTACCACATTACACTCGCGATTTCCAACCACCCAGACGTCGTCTACAACTCGATGAAGCAGCTCAACGACGGAAACGCCAAGGACCCAGCACCGAGCGCTGCGGCAACGCCGTCGACACTTGACGACGGGGTTGGAACAACATTCACCTCGGCGACTCGTGTTCTAAGTCCCTGAATAGGGCGATGACAGCGACATTGAGGCGATGGAAGCGATTACGCGCACGATGGAGCACCGCTTGAGCTTTGCCGAGCCCCTCTTGCCACCGACGTATGTGACGGGCATTGCGGAGAACTCGGGGAAGATGCTTATGCTCCTCCACATTCTGCGCGCTTGCCGTGAGATTGGCGATCGCGTCACAGTGTTCACGCAGAGCATCACGTCCATGAACGTGATCGAGTCGATGCTCAGCGAGTACAACGCCAAGAAGAAGACGTTTGACAAGATTCACTCGATTCGCATCGACGGCAGCACGTCGCAGCAACTGCGTTTCCAGCGCATCTCCATGTTCAACGACCCGTGCGAAGAAGTTGACGTCATCTTGATCTCGACCAAAGCTGGTGGCGAAGGCGTCAACCTCTGCGGCGGCAACCGCGTCGTCATCTTTGACGTGTGTTGGAACCCGTGCCACGACGCTCAGTCAATGTGCCGGTCGTACCGCTTTGGGCAGCTCAAGCCGGTGTATGTCTATCGACTCATTGCGGCCGGCACGATGGAGAAGAAGGTGTATGACCTTCAAGTGCGCAAGGAAGGCGTGAGCAAGCGCGTCGTCGACAACACGGCGCTTGAGCGCAAGTTCCACCGCGACGACATCAAGAAATACTTTTGCATCCAAGAGTTCAAGAAGGCCCAGCAACACACGGCGGCGGTGGACCCGGACGAGGTCATGGCCAAGATGAAGCACCACGCAACAAAGGATGCGGTGCTGCAGGGTCTCCTGGACGAAAAGTCCCAGTGGTTGGTACGTTACTTCTTGACACAGTTGGCAGGCAACGTAATGTGCTCTCATAGGTCGACTGCTATGAGCAAGAGACGATGTTTGAAGAAAACTTGAACGAGCGCATCTCGGAAATCGAGCAAGAAGAAGCGCTGCGTCAGTTTGCGATGGAGAAAGCGTGCCGAGATATTGTCGGCTACTCGCTCGGTGACGCACACCTCAAGGTCGCCCTCTGCCCACAGTGCAACCATTCAAACGACATCACCGGTGTCGAATCGGTACGCTCGTCGGTGGACGCGGTAGTGTTGCTAATCGCAGCCGTGTAGGATGTGTCGTCGATCATTTGCGCCGAGTGCGAAACCCCGATCGACGTTTCGGACGCCAATAACGTCGTCACGGTGAGCCGCGCGACGCACGACGCCGTCTCGGCGAGTGCACGCGTGTCGGCACCCATGTTCCCCGACGTCTTCAACGGCCATATGCCAACTCCGCACGTGAACCCGGAGCTGCAAGGTTTGCTCGCGCATGCTATCAATCCTGGCACTCATACATCAATGAATTAGCCCAACTTATGCAACTGCGCGCACAAAACGCACTAAATGGTACGCCGCACATTATGAATGTAAGCTTGATAGACAGGTATTCATTTATTTTTGTAGCGCATCATGCACAACAAGCTGCCCAGAACGTGCAGGCGGCAGCTATGTTGGCGTTCCAAGGTAAAACATCCATATCATGCATCTCTTTTACGCTAGCTTGTGTCCAGGTGGCGCACGCGCACTGCCATCGACGTTGCTAAGTGTAGCTGCCCCCAACGCTACTTCCGCGGCCCCTCTTCAGCGACGGATCCTCTTTTTGCGAAAAGGCCTCAACCGCGACGTCGTCGATACACTCAAGAATCAAGCGTCCGCCGTCTTGAAGTGCCACTTTGATGTCGAGTTGTTGCCGTCCACAACCGATGTCGTCTCGGCCTTGCCGCTTCCAAACGTTCTCAGCTGGCTGCGCGTCCAAGGTCTTCCGTCCACCACAACGTATCGCAGCGTCGAGTGGCTCCAGGACGAGATCAAAAAATCCCAAAGCACCGACCGTGCGCAATAAAAGTAGACTCAACGACCACCATTTATCTCAACGCTATTGCTTCATTATTCCATACTCGCGTCGGCCAGCGCGCGGACGCGGGCAAGGTCTTTCTGGAGCTTTTCATTGCCGGCATCGAGAGCGAGGGCGTCGGCAAAGTCCGCTTCCGCTACCCACGGCATGTCTGTCAATATGCAATGACGAGCGACGCACCTTTGTCGTAGGCTTGCAGCGCCGCGTGCGCTGTGCCCCGGCGAACGAGCGTCTTGAGAACCCACTCGCGTCGCTTGATCGAGCCCGGCGGCGGAATCGCAGAAAGCGCGATGGGCGACCCGCGCACATCAGGCGTCACGACTTGCTACGCGGTGGTCAGCGCCGTATCCTCGGACCTTACTACGCTGTACTTGTAGGAGCGCCAGCGCCGAGGTGCAGTCGAGCACGCAGCTCGCTGCGTCAAGCAGCGCGAGGTGGCACGCCGCTCGGTTCGAGAGGCATCTACACCGCACGCATAAACTCGTCGCAAATGTTTTCACGTCAAGCGCACGTACGCGACAAACGTCGGGTCGATGACGAGCGCGGCCGTGTATAAGTCCCGTGCGCTGGCCAAGTCTTGCGCGGTGAAGGCCATGTCCCCGCGCTGCTTGACCTTGTAGCACTCGTCCAGGCGCGAAATCCGCGCAAAGTCGATCTGCAGCGCTTCGTTCTCGGGGTGCATGCTCAGCGCAACGCCATAGTCGGCCTTGGCTTGGCTGCATCAAGAATAAGAGTAAGATATGAGTTGTGCCACTCCGTCGCAGTCGACCTGTAGTAGCCCAGCTGCGCGTAGGCAGTGCCTCGGCGCACGAGCACTCGGACTTTGAGTCGATGGGTGCCGCAAGGATCGGACGAGGTGGCGCCATTGTCGGGCAGCTGGGCGAGCGCAGCGCTGCAGTCGTCAGCGCAGAGCTACACAATGTGAGCGCGACAACAACGTCGAGGTGACGGATACCTGGTACGCGCCCAAGTGCAGGTGGCAGGCGGCGCGGTTCGAGAGGCACCTGCAAGCTGCAGCTGAGCGACCTTTATACAAACGGCTCGACGTACGCGGTCAAGGTCGCGTCAACAGCAAGCGCCTCCGCGTAGGCGTTGCGTGCGCTTTGAAAGTCGCGGTGGTGGTAAAAGTCGTCGGCTTTGGCCTTGAGCCACACGGCTACACAAGTCATTTCTAGGGCCTACAAATCACAGCAACAAAGTACGATCGGTCTCGCTGATGTCTTGGGCGCAGTTCGCGTGGAGGCCCTTGTGCGACTTGAGATGCTTGCGGTTCTTGACGAGCCAGTCTTCCTCGTCCGCTAATACCAGTCGTTGCAAGAACAGCGATGGAGTCGAGAGCGATACCGGCCGTTGACTCGCGGCTCGGCGTTGGAAAGACGCGCGGTGTAAAGCTGATCTTGGACTGCAGCGTCTCCCGCGGCGCCGGAATGTACACCACGTCGGTCTCGTCGTCCTCATCCTCGTGGACGTTGTTGTTGTTGATGGCGTCATCGTCCATGGGCAGCGACGGAGCTGTCATGGGCGCCACGTCGGTCTCTGACTCGGTATCGCTCCACTCGATGTCATCGTTGTTGTTGGTAATATCAAAGGTCCCGTCCGTGGACGCTTCGAGGATCGGCTCCATCGGTGGCTTTGCGATCGTTCGCTTGGGCGCCGACGGTGTTTTGAGCTCCTGGAAGGTGCGGTACATGGCAGACTACAGTCGCTTCAGTATGAGCAACCGCAAGTACAAGCGGTCGACGGAGGTAGTCTACCTCTTCGCGCTGCTTTTCATCGGCCTTAAGGTCGTCGAGACGCTGCCGCTCGTGTTCTTCCAGCGCCATCTAATGATATCCATATCTATCAACTCCAAGCACAAAATTGCAAGCACAAACTTGATCCCGAAGTGTTTTCTTCTCCGTCGCGTACTTGGCGTCCTTTCGCTTCTCGGCCAACTAGGCAAATCGTGGCGACGCAGTGCATGGGGCACACGCGGTACCTGCTGCTCCATCTCGGTCTTGCGGTCCATGGACGCCTTGCGGCGCGCTAGAATGTCGGCTTTCGAGCCAACGAACACGAGCTCCTTCCACATCTCTGGCGTGCTCTGCCGCCGATCCATGAGACCTTGATTGATCGTGGTTCAATGTACCTTGGCGACGGTCATGTGAATGACGCCGTCGAGGATCTTGACGACCGCGCTTGTCGGCTCGATAGGCGCGACAACGTCCAGCAGTAGCACGTAGGGCTTGAAGTTGATCTTGAGCACCGCGTCCGCCACTAGATACATCTTGGATGTTTGGCTAATCGGCGGGTTGTCGTACCGTAAAAGTCGACGTCCTTGCGGCTGGCGCCCTTGAGCGGCACGGTGAGCGAGACGTGCGTCGCGGTCTGGGCCCACTCGTACTGCGGCGTCAAAGGCATCGGGGGTCGTTGGCGGTCGCTCGGCGGATCTTGCAGTGGCACAAACCTTCCTTTCAAGATGGCAGATACGACGATGCCATTGGCCAAAATGATTCTATAATCCTCGAATGGCATACGTTTAAAAAAACGGTCCAGGCAGCGCTCTCTATTGTTAAGAAACCACCATGGAAGCGACACTGCGCCGCGCCGTCAACGAGTTTTTCTTCCGAGAGACGTGGTCGCCCGCCACGTACGCGACGTTCGCCGTCGTGTTAGTGAGCACGTTCTTTCTCTCGAACGGTCTCTCGCGGCTATTTTTTGGCCTGCTCGACGCCAAGCTACAGCGCTACGAAGCCAGCCGCGCAACCATTCACACGGTCGATACTTGCGAGTCAGCTTCATTCAGCTCACTGCCTTAGTAGGCACCGGATGCCTCGTCGTCCGAGAGCGACGAAACCTCGGGCAGTGGCTCGTCCGACTCGAGCGAAGGCGACAGCGGTGAAGAGGACGAGGAGCCAAGTGTGTTTTCGCCCGTCAAGATTGCAGTGCCACCGCTGATTGAGATTGATGCAAACGTCTCTGACGTACGCGACGTCGAGCATCTCAAAACGCTGTGAAATGAAAAGCATAAATTCTTTAAGTCACGTCGCGACACACTGGAGGAAAGAAGGAGCGACGAGAGGTAAAATAGCAATATCACTAGCAAGCAGAGTGCTCTCTGGGGCCTGGCGATCGCTATCAAATCTCGTAGTTCTTCTCGAGAGACCACAGACGCGGCGCAGCTGAAGCGTACGGCGAAGTGTTGCTGGGCGAGTTGGACGAACACGCTCACGACCGGCATTGGCACGTACCAGCGGATGGCGCCAGAGATCTTCAAGAGCCACGACTACTCGACGGCCGCCGACGTCTACTCGTTCGGTACACCTCTCATCATTAGGGGTAGGTTTGGTTCAGGGGTAGGGGTGCTGCTCGCCGAGTGCTCGACGCACCACGTTCCGTACACGGACCGCACCAACAAGCCGATGAACCAGCAACATGTGATGGCCAAGTGATGGCGGGGGAGCTCACGCCAACGTTTAACGTAACGACGATACCGTCGTGGGTGGTGGACCTCGCGACCGAGAACCTCGATTGGATCCGGACAAGCGCCAGACGATGTTGTCGGTTGCGAGTCGGATGCTCCACGTTGTTTCTTGTGACATTTAAGAGTCTCGGAAGCTATTTCTACCAAACAAACTTTGCTCGTGCTACCTGTTCAGCAGCAACACAATGTCCAACAGACCACGGACTCGATACCGAAATAAGGAGCCACAAACCACCCTCTTGTTCGGCGCTGCTGAGGAGCTTGCGTTTGGCTGCTGTTACGTGTACCTAGCTCGGTACTGAAGGCAGCCTCCAACCCAGCGGAGGCATGGGTGCTGCTGCGATAGTACGAAGCCCGTGCAGTCCACCATCCCAGTAACCCTTGACTAATGACACCATCGATAAACATTTGCAAAGGACTAGATACCATTGTCGTATTATGCTAAGACAGTATTTGTCTCTATGGTTTGTGTACACTAATGCACCATCCAGCTAAGAATAGGCCTCGAAACCCACATTGCGCATGTCCAGCACGGACGGGCTTGGCCTTGGCGCGCGTCGTCGGGCGACCACCGCCGCGCGGCGAACGACGACTCTGGATGGCCTCCACGTTTGTTACTCCATGCGCAGTAGCATATTCACACATTTTGTTTTCGGCTAGGAGAACGTCAAGAAGGGCGTTGCAACCTACGATCAAGAGCAGCGACAGCAGTCGCGCCGGGCAACCTTGGGGCTGGCCCCCGACCCGCGGACGCTTCAAGCCAAGCTCGACGCCCTCTCCAAGCAAGCAGTCTCCAACCGTGCCAAGGTCGGCGAGATCAACGACCGCGTCGGTCGGATCCTTGAAGATTTTGACGACGCAACCACCGACGCGATGCTGCAGTACGACCTCGCGGGCGCCCGCCTGCCTATTGACGAGATACCGTCGAGCCAGGTACGATCTTTTGCTTCCGACTGCCAATACAAACCTGCGAACGCAAGGCAAGCCATATATTGGAGTCGATGCGGGCGTCGCTGCACCATGCTGTCATGGCGCAGGCAGAGACATTGGAAGACATTCCGACCGAAGACACGACGCTGATTCCGTCGACGACCGACTTCATCGACGATGTCCTCGACTCGTCGCGTCTACAACAGCGCCGACTGACGTCAACCGCGCTGCAGTTGAGCAAGCTCACGGGCCTCCAGCGCGCCGAACTCGAGGAGAAAATTGCGCTTCTCGAAGGCGCGCTCTCAGACGCCGAGCATCAGTACGCTACGCTACAGTTCAAACACGCGTGCGTACTTCGCAGGATCAAGGTCATTTCCACTTATAAGCGGCTAGGGCGCTGGGCAAGGACGTGACGCGACTCAGCGCCGAGCTCCAATCCCTCAAACAGACGCAAACCAAGCTCCTCTCCAACCTGAGCGACGCCAAGAAGGAGCGAGAGGCTGCCGAGGTGGCATTGCATCTCGAAGCCCAAGCGCGCGAGGCGGCACTGGACGCTACGATCCGTGGTCTGAAGCGCAAAGAGCTGCAAATGACACGCGCCTTGAGGGAGGCCGAAGACCGCATCAAACAACTTCTCGAGGCGCCGTCCCCCGCCGCTCCCAGTAGCAGCCCCGGGGTTTCACTGCCGCCATTTGCCACCAGTCCTCCGCCGTTCGAGGCCAATTCGCCAGTGCTTCCGACGACACCCAAGCCCGAGAGTCCGCCAAAGCCCACGCTTTCTCGCAAAACCACGTCGCGCGCTGAATCGATCAAGGCAAGTCGTATCTACGCTGGTGCTCCGGTGGTCTACACCCACATGGACACGACTGTGGACGTCGACGGTGCTGCAGCAAAGGACACATCGCCCACGAAGACGCAGGCTGCTCCGTCGTCGAGCAAGCGCATGGCGTCCTCGACCAAGCTCGCTCTGTCTACGGCGCTGCCGCCACTTTCATCACCGCGTGCAGCGTTAACGTCACCACGCACGGGGCCGTCCACGAGCGGCACGAATGCACTTGGCGTATCGACGTTGATCCAACCCTCGTCTCCATTTGCTGCAGTCGCCATGTCAGACTCGAGCGCCACCGTACCGAGTACATCCTCCAAGGTCGACAGCGTCGTAGTTTTTCCGTGTCAAGCGCCCGAGACGGTACTCGGTCAGCGCATTGTCGAAGCTACGCCAAGCCCACCAGTGTCTGCGACAGAGGTGACGGAGGCGTGCGTGACGAGTACCCCTCGGTATGCCTTTCTGAGCCGAGGGCCAACGCACCAAGCGTCTAGCGGGGACTTGCACAATGACACGATACCGGAAGAGGCCTTGCCCAACACCCTTGCGATGCCGGTAGCCATGCAATCACCGACGTCAGCAAGGGACGTACCATCGTGGCGGCTGGTGGCGCACGAGGTGTTGAGCGCCATGTCCGACAGCTTGGTACTGCGTCTGCGCTTTGCAGGGCCTACGCGGCCCTCCGAGTCGGTCTCGGTCCAGCACTGGACCTTGTGTCACTTGGCGACGCACGCTGGCGTCGTCTTTCGCATTTCGGAAACCACGGTGCAAGCCGACGCTTCGGATGGCATTTTTGTTATCGTCAAGATGCAGTTGGGGTCGTCACCAGCAATCGCACTGGACGTCGCCGGAAAACACACAGCAAATCATGCACCAGCGCCCATGCTGAAGCATTTGCACTCGATCACGGCGCTCTCAACCGCGACGCGTAGTGCGCGATCCAGTGGACCATCGGACGACGCACCTTGTTGCACGGCGGTTTGCGTAATTGACGCATCTACCAGCAAAAGCCGCCCCACGACGGCCCGAACCAGCCACGAGAGGTCACTTGTTGAGGGAGGGTACAACGCGACGGGCGAACGCCTCGCTACCACGCATGTAGCGACAGCTGACATGGCCTCGTCCAGCGAGTCGTCGGACAAGATGTTCTCGGCAGCGGTGCCCGCCCACCGCACCGAACTTGTCTTGTGCGATGCCGGTGACATGACCCAAGAACCCGAAGGACGACCGAATGACGCCTCCCCAGCCGCAGGAGCCGCTTACACACCAGCGAATACAGCACCATCTTCAGCGAACCATGCCAGCGACGGTGCAGCATTTGATGCTGCATATCGCAAACCAGCCAGGCATCCGATGGAATCAACGTCGCCGAGTTCAATCGACGTCGCTCAACTGGACCTTGAGCAACGAAATGCAGCGAGGACGACAAGAGAGGCAAGTGGGCTGGACGGGCTAGAGACGACCAGAAACGTCATACCGGAGAGTGCGCGATGCGCGCTTCGACGCTTCTCGGACGATGGGACAACGACCGGTCGCAGTCCCTATCTGTCTCCACCTGAAGTGGCTCGTAGTGGCGTGGGGCACGACGCAGACACTGCATGTCGACCGAGCCGACGTCTCTCCATCGTACACTCGCCTCTCCAGCCTGACTGTGAGCCACCGCGGGTCGCTGACGAGAGCGTCAACATGGCCGAGCGACCACGCACGAGCTCTGGGCCATTGACGCCGTGGAAGACTGGGATGCCGAATCGGGGTCTCTCAATCGGCGACGGTCGGCCGCAAACGCGGCCCAAGAGCTGCGCCTGCTTCAAGAACGCAGACTTTTTCAAAAATTCCGCGCGGCTTTCGAGTCACCACGAGCACTGCCCGCTCGTGGACGAGCCGCGCCGCCGACGCCACTCGCTCGCAGCGACTATGGTGCTCGACAAGACAGTGGACAGCTGTCTACGGTCCCCCGCCAGCGTCAACGTGGTGCAGATCCGGTTTCCGACCAATTCCGCCTCGAACCGGTAGACACACCGACTTACTTGTGTAATATCTATCAATGTATCAGAGCCAGACTGCAGCCCTTGGATTTCTGTCGCGTCCAACGAGCATGCTAACCCATGATGCTAACGCTGAATGACACCCATCACACTTGTAGGGTTTGGGCAGGGATAGGGGTTGAAGTAAATGCAATGCCATCTCGGAATCGGGGACATGCTAGTTTATGCTGTGCACGAGAACAGTCGTAATGTAAAACCAAATTACAGGCTGCATCATCGGCATGCATACACAGCCCCAGCGTCAAGCTGACGTAATGTCACCGAGCTTCACCTTACTTACGTTATAGCGTCATATCGTGATGGTATTCGAGCTACGCCGGGTCGGTACGCGGTGTCAACGACAGCCACATGCCTTGCTCGGGTGTGATGGAGACGCCGACGGCGTTGGGCATGACGCACGGTGCGTCATGCGGACGCGAGACGACACACCGACGCAAGACTGTCACAAGCATCACCATCGCTTCCAGCTGGGCAAAGCGCATGCCGACGCAGTTGCGTGGGCCACCCGAGAAGGTCATAAAGCGGAACGCGCGGTCTTTGGCGGCAATTCCATGTGCGACCGCGTCATCAAAATGGCGTTCGGGCTTGAACTCATCGGCATCGTCGCCCCAGTTGAGCGGCGATCGGTTCACAAACCAAATCGGGATCGTCATGATCGTGCCAGCCGGAACACAATGGTCGTCGAGCGTTAGTGGCGCCTCGAGGTGGCGTATAACAATCGGGCTGGCGGGGAAGAGGCGCATCGACTCGGTGAGGACCGCCGAGACGTACGGCAGTTGCTGCACCGCCTCGTATGTGATGGGCGCCGACGTGCCGACGACCTTGTCGATCTCGGCCACTGCTTTGGCTTGCACCTCTGGATGCGTCGCGAGGAGGTAAAGTGCATACGCCATGCTCGTGCTGATCGTGTCCGAGCCCGCAAGCACAAAGGTAAACACATTGTCTGCAAGCGTGTCGGCGTCCATCGGCGAGTTGTCGGCGGAGGCGGCGTCGACCATGGCTTGGAGAAGATCAGGGTACGTCGAACCCGATGTGCCTGTGTGCAAGGCGTTTAGCCGCGCCTGCACGATCTCGCTGAGAATCGAGCGAGCGAGCGTCGCTTCCTTGACAAAGCGGCGATTCGCATGCGTCGGCACCCAGTGCAAGTGGCTCAGCGGCTTGTGCGCCTCGTCAAAACAGCGTCGGTTGGTCTCGCTCAGGAGAAAGGCGAGCGCTGTCGCCATCGGGTTGTGAACGTCGCGTAGCGATTGCAGGTCGTAGCCAAAGCCCGTGCGTCCGATCGTATCAAGCGCTGACCGCTTCAATAGCGTAAACACGTCCATCGACGGCGTCATTGCCTGCAGCCATATGTCCGTGAAGCTCTCGGCAATGGACGCCATGGCGGGGACCATGTTGGCAAGGTTCTGCCACTGGAAGGCCCGCGAGACGAGTCGCCGATGCAGCTTCCACTCGTTGTGCATGAGCTGTACGATCGACCGCTTCCCGACGAGCCGCTCAATGTGCATGTCAATGACAGGCACGGGCGCACGGTAGCTGGACGCGTTTACGACCTGGCGCACGTGGTCGGCGCGCGTCACGGCGACGCTGGGCTGCGCCATGATGCGGTACGAGACGATGCCGTTGGCATTGGCAGCATCACGGAAGAGGCGCCGCATGCCCGAGAGGGTCGAGAGCTGCATGGCTGCGCCGACGAACGGGACGTGGAGCGCGCTTGGGAACGGAAGGCCTTCCAGAAACGGCACGTTGCGGCCGAAGCGGTGGCACACGACTGCCAGCGCAACAACGAGACTCGCAGCAATCAGGGATGCCACGTCCAGCATGCTTGGGTGACTGTGAGGTCGGCTCAGCTTCTGGCCATCTTGCCTTCACAACCCGAGCCATGTGCAAAGACAGGTGGCGTTGGATTGGTGCATTTTAGCCAATCAACACGCGGCATTGAGATCCAACGATATTTGACCGATCGGTCGGCCCTTCTCTCTCGACTGGCGACTTGCAGCAGCACGAAAGACATTGCCGTTGCATTAATGTACTAATGCAATAGTTACTTGGTAAAGCATAGACAGTCTATCAGCATGTTCACGCGGGACCTCTGTACCAGTGAGAGTGTAGGTCCAAGCTTCCAGTCTACAGAGTAACGACAAAAATGACAACCAAAAGCTTAGCAAGTAGAAGTAGAAGTAGACATTAAACACAAGAAGGGCGATTCGGTCTCCTAACTCTTCGGGCCATTCAAGCACCACGCGGGCACTACGCGGATACGGCTGCGCGCGGCGTCAGTGCGAGCCACATACCACCCTCGGGTGTGATCGAGATGCCGACGGCATTGGGCTCCACCGATGGCGCGTCACGTGGGCGCGTCACGATATATTGGCGCAAGACCGTCGTCAGCACCACGGCGGCCTCCAGCTGCGCAAAGCGCATGCCGACGCAGTTGCGTGGACCGCCCGAGAAGCTCGCGAACCGAAACGCGCGATCTTTGGCAGAAAACCGATCGCAGTCGGACGCGAGGTGGCGCTCGGGCTTGAACTCGGTGGCGTCGTTGCCCCAGTTGAGCGGCGACCTGTTGATGAACCACATGGGCAGCGCTAGCAGCGTGCCCGCCGGCACAACATGATCGCCAAGCACCAAGTCATCGTCTGCGTGGCGGTACGTGAACGGCGCAGGGGCGTAGAGGCGCAGTGCTTCCGTGAGGACCGCCGAAACGTACGGCAGTCGTTGCACAGCCTCATATGTGATGGGCGACGTCGTGCTGACGACCGTGTCGATCTCGGCGACTGCCTTGGCTTGCACGTCCGGGTGCATGGCGAGAAGGAAGAGCGTGTAGGCCATGGCCGAGCTCGTCGTGTCCGAGCCGGCAAAAAAGAAGGTGAGGACGTTGTCGGCGAGCGTCTTTGCGTCCATTGGCGAGTTGTCAGCGGACGCCGCATCCAGCATCGCCTCCAACAGATCATGATGCCGCAAGGACGACGCAGCATAGGTCGCGATACGCGCTTGGATGAGATTGTGCAGCGTAGTGCGAACGGTCCTGACGGCATCGGCATGTCGCCGGTTCATCCGCGTTGGTAGCCAGTAGAGGTGGCTGCTCGGGCACAGCGGCTGCTCGAGGCAGCGCCGGTTGACCTCATTGACGAGGAAATCGAGGGCTGACGCCATTGGGTTGGCTTCATCGAGCAAGGCGCCCATGTCGAAACCAAAGCCAGTGCGCCCGATGGTGTCGAGTGCCAAGCGCTTTAATAGCGGGAACACGTCGATAGCCGGCGTTGTCGCCTGGAGCCAGACGCCCACAAATGTCTCGGCGACCGACGCCATGGCCGGGACCATCGCAGCGAGGTTCTGCCACTGAAACGCACGCGAGATGAGCCGCCGATGGAGCTTCCACTCGTCGCGCATGAGCAGCGAGACCGAGCGGTCGCCCAAGAAGGCTTGCATGTGCATATCAATGATCGGCGTCGGACCGCGGTTCGTGGTCGCCATGTACACTTGGCGCACGTGGTCGGCGCGCGTGACGGCCACGCTGCGCTGCGTAAGAAGCCTGAACGAGACCATGCCGTTGGCGTCGGCCGCATCGACGAAGAGGCGCGTCATGCCCTTGAGCGTCGACATCTCGGTGGCGACACCGACAAAGGGCTTATGCAGCCCCGTCGGAAACGGTAGCCCGGGCAGGAACGGCGCGTTGCGGCCATAGCGGTGGCACACGTAAGCGACGAGGATGACTAGGATGGCGGCGCCAGCAGACGTGACTGATCCTTCCATATACTCACAATGCACATGCTGGCAAGATGCTCAAACGACGTTCGAAATTTGGGACGATCTGATTGGCGCGTGATCGCAGGTCACAGCACCAGTCGCGGGACATGACGTGGCACGCTGAGTGTTATCTGGTTGTGCGTGCACAATAAGAAGCGGAAGGTAACAATAACATCGGACCCCATCGAGCAATAATGTGGTGACCAGCGTCCGGTTGCAGCGAAGCCGACAGGCTAGACGATGTTTGATTGGCCCAACTCATCCAATCAACGAGAGGTATTGCGATCTTCCACAATTCACTTTTGTCACGGACGACAAGAGCATAGTTCACCTTGTGAAAATTGAGATCATTTATAAAGTCGTAGGATGATACAGTGCCTACTCGTCTTCCTTGCAGTGGTGTTGCACGGGACTGCCCGTCTCGGCCCACAAGTTGGCGGGCGTGATCGTATCGAGCTGAAGACCGCGGGACGTGGCCCAGCGCTGAAGGTTCTCCGGAGCGTACTTCATAGCCTTGTTTTGGTAGCGCTCAAACACGGTCTTGTCGATGGTTTCGTTCACCGACGTGTCTTCGTTGATCTTGCGCAAGTGCGTATGCCCGAGCATCATGACGCGCTGCTTCCAGTCGATGTCCATTTGCTCGCTGTCCCGAAGGTGCTCGGTGCCGTCGAGCGTAAACTCTTTCTTGAAGACAAGTCCTTGCTGGATCGCGCACTGCTGCACCCAGCGCAGCGGAATAAACGAGAGCACGTCCGTGGCGGAGAAGCCGCCGCCAATGTTGCTGTGGACGCCGGCAAACCAGCGCTGCTCGACAAAGTGCATGGCCTTTTCATCTTCCAAGGCGACCTCTTGGCTGTCGTCGTCGCCAGAGCTCGTAATTTGTCGGATCGAGTCCAGGTTCATGTGGTCCGTGAAGCGCTTGGGCGGCTCCTCGCAATACATGACTTGAAACGACTCGCGGTGCTCGTCGATCGCCATGGCGTGGACGATGCGGCCAACCTTGGTCGGGTTCTGGCCGTACCGGTGCCGGTCGCTCCGCGGGTCGGCGGCCACAACGTCAAAGATGCCGACAAAGTGGATCTCAATTGGCGTGCAGTGGTTGATCATGATCGCCTCCGTCGTGGTCAGCGACCCCCGCTTCGTCTCGGGCAGCGCGAGAAGCTGGTCTAGAGACCGCGCACTCTTGTTCTTGTGCACGAGCTCGTACTGGTCCCAGAGCTTGTCGACAGTGGCCGCACTGTCGGGCGCTGCGAGACCGCACGTGTCGATGAACCCGAGGAGGGCTCGCACCTCAAACGCTCCGCGGCTGAACCTACGGTATCCAAAGGCATAAGGTGTCGTTACAGTGCAGATTGTACGTACCCAAAAAGGTACACCTTGTCGCCGGGGACGTAGACCTTGGCGAGATACTCGTACACATTGTGGATGATGTCCTTCATGCCCACGGCAAGGAGGCCGCCCGTCAAGTAGGACCCCCACGAGGTGCCAACACCGGGAAAATACTCCTTGATTTGGTCATCGGACGTGGCTGTCGCGTCGTAAAGGCGGTGGACGTTGGTGTCCGACTCGGGCGTGTTCCACGTGCCGTCCATGAAGAGGGCGATGCGCTTTGGGGTCGTCGTCGTCATGAGAGCTCGAGAGTGCAAATTGAAAAATGAGAGCAGAGGAAGCCGTGGTGGGTCGCACGCCAACGGTAGTAAAAACAGAGGTTGATATTCGAGCAATCTTGCAGCTTGGAGGTTGACGGGTGTTTCGAAATTTTACTAAAATTTATCGTCTTGGCGCCATTAGTGGACGCTGCTTAAAATGAGACACAAAGGTGTTTCATGGCGCAACGTGCAGTGCGTTCTCCGCCGTGATAGTTCGTTTCCTCTTTTAAACGTCCGACCACTCGAGAGCGATCGTTAGAGCACCTCGGTGGTGAAGTTACGACGTTCGGCGAGGACCATCGATAGTTCAGAGGTTTATCTTTCAAGGACTCGCATGCCATAGAGGAAATGCAGGTGGACGCTTGCACGATGCACGCATATCTCTTTTCGCCAACCGCATGCGGAAGATTGCGCTGGAGAAGCGTCTGAGAAACCTGGAAACCACTGAACCGCCACGTTGGTTTTTCGAAGGGGCTGTGGCTCGCCACGTCATAGCCCTAGAAACAATATACTATACAAAATGAGATATATTTGAAACGGCACACTTAGTGGGATGCGGACTTGATCGAATCATCGGATTGCACCGCTTGGGAAGAAGAACTTCGGAATGGAGCGGACGAGCAGCGGCAAGGTGGGCGGGCCGCCCGAGCCCTTAGCCCAGGACAGCGACGACGTCAAGATCCACAGCCTCGTGGATCAGGCGCTAGCGAGCGTCCAGCACAAGATCAACATCCATTCGATCCGCAGTCTCTTTAGGTAGGGTTGCCTGCCACCATCGTCGCCCCACGGAAGCCGTAGCTTTATGGGCATTGGCGAGGAGCACCCGTTCTCGGCGCTGCCGCAGGCGCAGCTCGTCCTGCGGCTTCGGCGCAACTTGGAGTACTTCCTCGTCAACTACATCCTCGTGTTTGGCCTCGTCTTCTTCTGCGTCTTGTACGTACCATCTTCCGCCCGGGTACCGTGTCTCATGGCCATCGTAGGATCTTTCATCCGTTTGCCATGCTATGCGGCGTGGCGACCATCGGCGCCTGGGCCACGGTGCTCGTCCAACGCAAGCAAATCCAGCTTCTGCTGGGGCCTAGCTTCAAGATGATCTACGTGGTCTACGGCCTCGCTGCCGGTAGGCGTGCTCCATGCGCAGGTGCCCACATTTGCATTAGGCACAGCGCTCGTGCTCATCTTTTCGCTGCTGTCACCGCTACTGCTTGCGACCAGCATCACGTACAGTGACATCATCTTGCTGTCCAAACCGCACGCAAAACCGTCTTGTCTAGCGGCGTCCTCGGCATCGCGCACGCATTGCTGCGCAATACGCCAGCGTCCGACAAGGTCGACGTCCTCCTCGAAGACCACCCGTAATACACTGTACATCGCCCACGGCCATGTGACCAGAGACACTTCACTCCAACTGCCAGTGTTTTTTACTCCAAAATTGATAATTTCTCAAGTGGCGGACGACGACGGCGCGCCTTTGACCATGCGAACGGTGCGCCCACGGGCGTCATAGCCCATGCGGCACGTGTGCAGCAGCACGTTCTCGACGAGGGGGATCTTGAACGGAAGGTACGGCAGCGACAAGAGGCCATACAACGTCCGGATCCAAAACATAATGTTCTGGCGCTGCCACGTCATATCCAGCAGGCTCTGCGCCGCGAGCGCAAGCCCCATTGTAAAGCAAAACGCGATCGTCTCGTAGCCACAGAGCTTCATGAGGTACCCACCCCGGTCCATGTGCAGAACATTCCCAAACATGTCTTGGTACGTCGTCTTGGGCGCCGTCGCGTGCTTGGGCGAGAGCACCGTCGCCGTCGACGGCCGCTCCGTGTACGGGAGGTAGAAGAACGCGACCCAGACCAGCGCCGTTTGCCATAAAAAGAAGAGCGTATTCCACGGCGACAGCATCGGCCCGTCTACATAACATACTGAGATGCCACGGCGAGAAGTACGAAGGAGGTACAGAGATCGCAGACGCCCATGGTGCCATAGAGCGCGCATGCAATGTACTTGGCGACGCCAAGGATGGTCGAGCCCAGCCCCAATGTGAGGAACTGACTCGTCTTGAACCCAATGATGAACTGGCACAGCTGGTGCTCGTCGCGCTTGTCCTTGAGGACGAAGAGGAGGCACCACCACGCTTGCCCAATGTACGGAAGCATCCCGAGGATGGTAAAACTCCACCAGTAGGGGTTCTTGAGGCAGCGCCAGATCGACTGGTCGTACGGGAAGAGGTTGTACAAGATGCACGCGCGGGCATTTGCCCATGAACTCGCCGCGCGCTGGGGCAGCGACTAAGAAGTGATAAGACAAAAAAGGTGACTACTCGGGTCTGTACAGCTGACGTCGCGTCGCCCGACTCGGACGGAAGGCGCTGGAGCGGCGGCGTCGTTGTCGTTGCGACGAAGAGGTCCTTTGTCTTGCGGAAGAGCTCGAGTTTGACATCAGGTAGAAATTGATCCACAGCCACATCAATGTTGGACTACCGCTGCTTGAGAACCGAGGGTATGTCGAGCGTCGCCTACCTGGAGGTACAGGGGCATGTCCTTGTCCTTGATCGAGTCCTTGAGACGCTCGGCAAAGAGGTCGAGCGCGCGCTCCAGATACCGGCGCACGGCGCGGTGCATCGCATTCTGCATCCCGCCCTTCGTGTCGACTGCCATCTCGAAGAGCTTGTTGCCCATGAGGCTCAGCGTCGACCGGCGGCGCATCGGTGGCAGAACGTTGGTACGACTAGCGTTGTGCGAGTGCGACGCGGCGATCGAGATGGCCTTGAGCATCGTCGCAAGCGGAAATTCGACCGGGAAGCGCTGCGCGTACCCCTGGGCGTGTTGCGTCAGGTCTTGGAGCGCGTAGGCATCGCCTCCGAGAGTCGTCGCTAGGTCGTCCCAGAACAAGTTGATGCGCGCGCGCTCGATGGGCGAGAGGATGCAAGGCTCGTCGCCATGTGCGAGGGTCTCGAGCGCCTCCTCGACGGCGTCGACCGCGATGGTGGACTGGCTCGACAGGCGCAGCGACGGCCGCGCAGGGGAAGCCGGAAGAAGCGGCCTCGACGCATCGTCAGCGCTTCGTTCGTCATCTTCGTCTTGCGTCTCCATGACGAGGTTGAACATGGCCACGCTGGCCGAGAAGGCCGCGGCGCCGCAGGCGACTTGGATCACCCAGCGCTGCCGAAGCATTCCGGCTGTAGAAGGTGCAATGACAAAACATGGTGTTTATTTAAAATAGCATGTCAATATAAGGTACTCATCGCTCCAAAAAGACAAAATAAGGTCGAGCTCCAACTTCAAGTTGGCCGCTCGTGCATCGGCGCGTCGATCGTGCGTCAAAGGAGCCGACACGTCACGCACTATCATAGTACCGATCTGCCGTCAACGCGACTACTTACTAGAAGCGCGCTGCGTCCGTATATCAAGTAAACGTAAAGACGGAGACTCGCAACGCAGGTCCTTTGTGCCAACTGCAATTTCAAGCGCCAACGACCAAGTGTACATACTCTGGCCGCAGCCCTGGCTTTGGCGTAGAGCCAGCGACTTCTGCGGTAAATCCCACTCTCTTCAAGGCACGACGCAGTCGTACAGCGAAAAGGGCAGGAAAAATGATCTGCAAAGCTATCTCGAAGCGGCTGCAAGCCAAGAAGCTTCCTTGGTTCTTGACGTAGACAACGACACCGTGCGTCACTCGACGACCCACGACCGATGCTCGACCGTTGAATCCACAAGGACATCGAGGTCAAATTTTCACAGGATACAAGAGGCGCCGCCAACACCATGGACGTTGTGGCCGCAGACGTCGGACGATCTCCGCCGCCGCGCCGCGTCATGGGCAATGCTGCGGAGAGTCGCATAGAATCTCGCCCCCGTTTGGTACTGCCTCGTCAAACGTGCGGTCCGCAGCGCTGTCCATGGACGCGTCTGGCTTCCGCGAAGGTTCGGCACGCCACAACGTCGGCTCGTCACTGCGACGCACCGATCTCAAATTAAAAATTAAAAAAACAAATGTCGCACACTTGCGCGACACAACGCGAGCTTGTTCGACAGTTCATGGCCCATACAAACTTCAAGATCTCGAGTCGGTGCCATCGCGAGAAAAGGTGCTAAATGCATAATCTCGGATGCTTGATGATCCTCTGGTCTACAAGCAACTTCTCACTTTTGAATTTGCTCAACGGCACGCACATCCGCGATACTACTATCTTCAACATGCCCGCGTCGAACCCCTGGACCCTCAGCACGCTTCCCATCATTGGCACGGCCAAGAACGACAATTCGACTTGCCAGTCGTGCAAGCAGTGCATTCCCCAAGGCGCGGTCCGCGTCGGCCTCATCTTCCACCACCTCAACGGGTACATCGCGCTCGATTGGCACCACTTGACGTGCTGCGAGACGCCTGCGCAGCTCCCGCAAATCGAGGGCTACGAACTCCTGAGCGCCCAAGCCCAAGAGCAGGTCCAGCATTACATTGACCAAGTCACCGTGTCGTGAATGCTTGGCGACGTCGACCATTGTGTCCATTGCTCCGTCACTGGAGTCTGAACCCCGAGGCAAGCGCCGCGTACGGGCGCCCACACCTCTCACAACCTCACGCTCTGCGCTGACACGCACAAGTACCGGTAGATTGCCGACTCTCAGAAAGTCAAACTCAGTCAATGAATATACTTGAAATACATTTGAAACAACAATTTGTGATCGATTGAAGAATTTTGGCTCACCCGAGCAGCTCGTACCCCACGGTCGAGCAGCTACAAGGTACTGTACAGCTGTAGTAAGTCATAACCAATCGTGCGAAAGCGACCAGAAAATGAAAAAAGGCTGTGATCCTGACATTGACTCTTGGCTCCACTCTGTGAGCAGTGGGGTCAACGGAAGCTAAAACCGAACGAGCCACGGGGAGTCCTAGCACTTGGTATCAACGCAAACCTCGAAAATTTGATTCGCGTGGCCGATGCACCACTTTAACGAACGAGCCACGACCGCAGCTACAGCGACGTGGCAGCACCCAGAGTGTTGTTCGGAGGAGACATCTCCTTCAAAGGAGCTGTCGATACACCGACGAACAAGTCGATTCCGAGTTTGCAGGTGGCGTCTCGCATCGCGACATCCGCTGGCCATTTTATGATTTCACAAAATAAAATAAGATTGGAGTTGTTTTAATCGTGGAGCTTAGGACTAAGACAGCGTAAGACTGACACCTTAGTGTATCCACCGTATCGTGACCAAGTGGCTTTCCAGCACATACAAATCCCAAATGACTTTGCTGGCGAAAGGGACACCCGCCCAGCTCTCCATGACATGTCCCGAGACAATACAATTTCCAAGTGTAGCAAAAGGGCGTCCGCCGCCTCTTGATGGCAATTGGTCGCTTTCGTGTGCGGCGCACCCAGTTGGCGAGACAAAGGAGCCGGTCGTCGAATGCGCTTCCAGGCGCCAGCTCCTACGCCTTCTATGATGCGGTAGTAACGCGTATTGGGCCGTGCAGCTCACCATCAGCACTTCGCAATTTCGATCCACCCGCCATGACCCAGAATCCGTGGACGCTCAACACCCTCCCGGTCATTGGCACGGCGACGACCGACGGCTGCCTCTGCCAAGCGTGCAAGGAGAACATCTCGCAAGGCGACATCCGCGTCGGCCTCATCTTCCACCACCTCAACGGGTACATTGCGCTCGACTGGCACCACTTGACGTGCTGCGAGAACCCGTGGCATCTCCCGACGCTCGAGGGCTTTGATCTTCTCAACGACAAGGAGAAAACTCAAGTGCACGCGTTCATCAAGCAGAGCAAGGTCGGCGCGTAAAACCGCACGTCATGCTCTCGTGTCTTTGTTGTCTGTCCGTGCGCGTTGCTGTCGCGTCCAAAACTTGTTATTTAAACTGTGAAATGTACTGCCTGCATGCAAGTGTAAACTCGAGTCGTACTAGTTCCTAGCGCAGTCATCTATCGTGCTTCTTCACGCAACCACAGCGAACGCGTGGCAATCTCATTTCGCACCTCTCGCCCCAGTAGGAACTCGCCCC